AATGGGCTCGAGAAACGACATCGCTGGCGTACTCAGTAGACAAGGGGGGAGCCGAAGGAAGGAGCGTGTCAAATGGTAATGCTGGATGTCGGCCAAATAGCAAATAAAACGGCGAATAACTAGCTGTGTCGTGCCGTGAAGAATTGTACGTGAACGTGACAAAGGGGAGTGCTTTGTCCCAGTCACGGTGATCTGGTGAAACGTACATTGACAGCATCTGCGTCAGCGTTCGGTTCAGACGCTCGGTCAATCCATTTGTCTGTGGATGATAAGCGGTGGTAAGCTTGTGCTCAGTGGAGCAGGCGCGGAGAATGTCATCCAAAATACGTGGAATAAAGTACCTTCCTCGATCAGTAAGCAGCTGCCGCGGAGCGCCGTGATGAAGAATGACTTCATACAAGAGAAAGTCAGCCACGTCAGTGGAACAGCTTGTCGGCAGTGCTTTAGTGATGGCAAAGCGTGTGGTGTAGTCTGTGGCGACTGCAACCCATTTATTTCTGGAGGTGCACGTAGGAAACGGGCCCAACAAGTCAAGGCCAACACGGAAGAATGGTTCCGTCGGTATGTCAATGGGCTGTAGGAGGCCAGACGGTAGCACAGAGGGGCGCTTGCGGCGTTGGCAGCGGTCGCAAGCAGTGACGTAGCGAACCACAGAACGATACAGTCCGGGCCAGAAAAAGCGACGTCGCACACGATCGTAGGTACGAGAGACGCCTAGGTGACCGGCTGTAGGCACGTCATATAGTTGTTCGAGAACGCTGGTACGCAGGTGATGGGGAAGCACGAGTAGTAATTCCGGGCCATCAGCGTTGAAGCTGCGACGGTACAGAATGTTGTCGTGCAGTTCGAACGGGCGAACGGAAGGGTCTGTTGGAGCAGAGGTCAGACGCTCGATGATGGAGAGTAACGACGGGTCACATCGTTGTTCGGTGGAGATATCACCCAAAGCGTGGATGGAGAGAACGCAGGGGTCTGAATCAAGGTCTGTCAAGTCGGGCGTTTCAACCGGATAACGTGACAAACAGTCTGCGTCTGTGTGGAGGCGTCCCGACTTGTTGTGGACCACGAATGAGTATTCTTGCAGACGGAGCGCCCAGCGACCAAGACGTCCAGATGGCTCCTTTAGCGATGACAACCAGCAAAGAGCGTCATGGTCCGTAACAACAGAAAAAGTTCGGCCATACAGGTAAGGCCTGAATTTCGTCATGGCCCACACTAAAGCTAGGCATTTACGCTCAGTGATGGAGAACTTCCGTTCGGCAGGTGAAAGAAGACGACTGGCGTAAGCAATCACGCGGTCCTTCCCGTGCTGTCGTTGGCCAAGGACCGCTCCAATTCCATGGCCACTGGCATCGGTCCAAAGCTCTGTAGGTGATGCTGGGTCGAAATGGGCCAGTATTGGTGGCGTAGTCAGCAGATGGATAAGAGCCGAAAAGGCGTCCGCTTGCTCTATACCCCATGCGAAGGGAACGTCCTTCTTTAAGATATCAGTAAGCGGTCGAGCGATGTCGGCGAAGTTGCGGACAAATTGACGAAAATAGGAACATAGCCCTACGAAACTTCGGACGTCCTTGGTTGAGCGTGGTTCAGTAAATTGTTGTACTGCTCGTACCTTTTCGGGATCTGGTTGAACACCATCGGCACTGACAAGGTGGCCGAGTATGGTGATTTGGCGACGTCCGAAATGGCATTTTGCAGAATTGAGCTAGAGAGCAGCTCTTCGAAAAACATCCAGAACGGCTGACAGACGTGTTATATGGCTATCAAAGGTAGGTGAAAAAACGATGTCATCGTCTAAGTAACATAAGCAGATAGACCACTTATATCCTCGAAGAAGGGAGTCCATCATGCGCTCGAAAGTTGCCGGCGCATTACACAGTCCAAACGGCATGACTTTGAACTGGTAGAGGCCGTCGGGCGCAACGAAAGTGGTTTTTTTACGATCCAAGGGGTCGACGGAAATTTGCCAATAGCCGGACCGAAGGTCGATATACGAAAAGTATTGGGCACCATGGAGGCAATCGAGGGCGTCATCGATCCGAGGCAAAGGGCAGACATTTTTGTGGGTCACTTTGTTTAAATGGTGATAGTCCACGCAAAAGCGCCAGCTGCCATCCTTCTTCTCAACGAGCACGACTGGGGAGGCCCAGGGGCTGGATGAGGGTTCTATTACGTCTTTTGTAATCATTTTATCCACTTCATTTTGAATTACCTGGCGTTGCTTGTGAGATACGCGATATGTATGCCGACGTATAGGACTGGCATCACCAGTGTTGATCCGGTGAGTCACTGCAGTTGTTTGGCTGAGGGGGCGGTGGTCAAAGTCGAAAACGTCTGTATATAATGTTAGCAGACTACGGAGGCTGGCAGCTTGCACTGCAGTGAGGTCGGGAGCAATCACCTTGTTAATGTCATCTGCAGGCAGAGTGTAATTGCGGCCAAGACAGGGGGATGTAGTATCGGTGTCCAAACCAGTAACGTTGCAGCTGTCAAGTGGAGATAGGGCGGCCAAACACATGTCTTGCGGAATAACTTGAGTCTAGAGACTCATGTTGAGTAGTGGTATAACCACTGTATTATTAGCGATGGCGACAACAGTGTGAGCAAGGGCGACGTCTCGGGCCATCAGTACGTCGACTATAAGAGTTACGAGGTAGTCACCATCGGGCACATGACGTGAGCACGACAAAGTGACATATGTAGCAGCTTGCGGAGGCAAGCGATTGTGGTGACGAGAGCATAAACGGGGAGAATAGTCAGCTGGAAAATCGGCAAACTGCGGCAGTTCAAGCTGAAGAGCACCAGTGGCACAATCAATGAGCGCAGAATGACGTGACAGGAAGTCCAAACCAAGTATTAGGTCATGAGGACACATTTCAATGACGGCAAACTGAACTTATGTAGGATGACCGGCAATGGACACACGGGCCGTGCACATCCCTTGAACATCAGGGGTCCTCCCATCAGCGACACGAAGTTTGTGGGAAGCGGCAGGCGTGAGCACTTTATGTAGGGGTCGGCGAAGGTTCGCGCTCATTACAGAAATGTGCGCTACAGTATCTATAAGGGCAGAAATAGCCACACCGTCAACGGCAACGTTTAACAAATTTTGTCTCGTCGGAAGCGTCAAGAGAGGATTTGTGGAGGGAGTCGGAAATGCAGCGTCACCTCCGAACGCTGCACCGTTTAGTTTTCCGCGTAGGCAGGAGCGGGGTTGAATGGGGACGACGGCCTGCGAGTCTGTGGTGAGAGAGACGACTGGCGACGTCCTGGAGGCGAACGCCACTGACGACCATGCGGTGACGGAGATCGGCTGTTGAACCTTCTGTAGTTGTTTTGCGGAGAAGGCTGCGCGGCAGACGCGAAGCGGGTGCTGTCCTGTCGGTAGTGAGGTTGAGATGAAGTCCGAGGTGGCGAGGACCAGCGGTAATTGCAGTAACGGACGACATGACCAATACGGTGGCAATGAAAACAAATTGGTCGATTGTCGACGGTTCTATACGCAGCAGGGTCACGAGATCGGGCCGTAAACTGCTGCTCGTGATAGGACGAGGGTGGATGCCATGAAGCTCGCTGCGGGCTGGGCAAAGCGCACACCGAGGGAATACCTATGCTGGCGATTTCTTGGCGGATGATGGCTTGAACCGTGTTAGCAGTGAGTGGGGTCGTGTCACTTGCAGCGGTGTGAGACGGAGCAGAGGCAATGGCTTCAAGTTCGCGCCGTACAATTCGGGTCACCTGATCCGATGAATCTAGAGGTGGTGGCTGTGTTCTTGCACGGTCTTCGCAAGATGATGTTGCAGCCGTATTCGGAAAGCGGGTAAACACGCTGTTAATCCGCCGGCTCTTCGCTTGCTCAAAGCGCCAACATTTTTTTATAATGGCGTCCACTGTAGAACAATTTTTGCAGATGAGGAGGTTGAATGCGTCATCCTCAATCCCTTTAAGAATATGCCCGACCTTGTCAGCCTCCGGACTCGGCATTGGCTTTGCGACACAACGACAACACATCTTCTATATAGGAGACGTAAGACTCGGTCGAGGTCTGCGCCCGAGACGGGAGCATTTTGTTCGCGGCCATTTTTCTTCCAATCGGCTTTCCGAACAGGTCCAACATTTTCTCCCTGCACACTGCCCAACTCTCAAGTTCTGTTTAATCGTTCTCATACCACGATTTGGCGGTTCCTCTAAGATAGAATAACAGGTTTGCCAGCATAAGAGTCGGGCCCCATCGGTATCGAGTATTCACACGTTCGTGCTCTGCCAGCCAATCTTCAACGTCAACTTCATCTGGATCGCCGGAACCGCTGAACGTGCCAGGATCCCGCGGGGGTTCGAGCACGAAGTGTGTGGTCGCAGAAGGAGATGTAGTTACCGCATCATCTCCGGCCGCAGGAACACCAGGAGCAGATGCAGACGCCGTACTCTCCGTCATCGTTGTGGAATGACCCTTCAAACGTCGGCCGCTGCGAAGTTCCGTTGCGAGGCGGTTACCCAGCACCTCCACCAAATGTGACGGGGGGAGGTCTTGGCTCACAGGATAGCGTCCACCGAGAATCGGCAGCCGAACAAAATGTCTGAGTTGCCTCTCGCGCAAGCGCCTAACGCACAGGCGTCTTCTTCATCTTCGCTAAGTGCCACGCTTGCTCCTGTCGATGATGCACCGTAACAATATATATATATATATATATATATATATATATATATATATATATATATATATATATATATATATATATATATATATATATATGAGTGAGAACTTGCGTTTCAAAAAATAAAACCCAAGACCAAGCCTACATTTTTTATTTAGCAAGCGCGCATTTGTACGAAATGGTTTCATTGGTTTCATTTTGCAGTATCCAACATTTGCGTGATACAAGTCGTCAAATTCGATCCCTACAACACCTACATTTCACTATACGATAGCTGCAAACATATCGCACTGTGTCCCAACACACGATGACGCTGCAGAGTGTCCACGTTGCATACACCTACTGCTACTTCCAGAACGAGCATTTCGAGTTGGGGTTCATGGGCGCCCCTTTGGAGCAGGAGAACGCGGCCGCAAACTCGGGCATGTTTCGCAGTGGCACAATGCAGCGAGAGCGGCCGGGCCAGTAGCGGCTCGTGGGCTGCCTCTTGGCGATCAGGTCACACCACTTCAGGCAGTGCGCCACGAAGAAAGTCTGCTCGGCGGTGAGCCCCACGTCAGGCACCACGGCCAGTCGCTCACGAGGCTGAAGGCGCCTGTACGCCGAGTACGCCAGCTGGAGGCCCGTGAAGTCCGCGAAGCCCTCAGAGTCGACCTTGTCGTCAACCAGGACCATGGCTCTTTCCGACTCCACCTGGGACAGGCGTCCAGTGAAAAGGGCGTTATGCTTATCCACAAACTACTCAGTTGTTAGCCGATTGCAGGGTTACGAGATGCGTAAAAACGATTGGGTAAGGCAGTGGTGCCACCTGAGAGCGCTGTTCTGTGGACATTTATCATACCCATTCTATTTATTTGTACATTGTCACCATCATAATTCGTTGGTTATGCATCATCATCGTTGTCGCGTATGAGCATCGTCATTTTGGTTTCACTGCAACAGTCGGATGCCCGGTTCTTGGGCCAAATAAAATTAATCCCAGCAAAGAATACAAACACATAGCAATTGCTGAACTTAGCAACCACATATGGCTTTACTGATAGTGTAAACTTGGATGGCAGCGTGATTTGGAATTTTGGCTGTTCAAATGTTTTGTTTTTGACAAGCATAAAATCATAAACGTATGTATCACTGAAAAAACTTTGCGTACCCTGTAGTGAGAGTGCTTTTGGGCCCACCTCGTCCACTGCCCTTGCAAACAAACATCTCTCAAATGTGGTGCCCACAGGCCACCGACCATGTACAGCTTCATCAAGCTGCTTGATAGCACAATTATCACCTTTAAAAATTGTGGACGCGGAATTTTCAGTGTCACTTTTATTAGCATTTAAACGGACACACCATCAAGCGTTAGTATTGCCGGTGCTGCTGTAGGTGCCGCCGTGCTGCTCCTATATGATGCTCAAAATTGGCGCGATAAAAGGCCTCCAAAGGAACGATATGTCTGTGTGCTCGAAAGGAATGCACATGTGAATGCATTTTATTCGAGCTAGTTTTGATGCATGACCTGTCTTCATTCTCTTGCAACAACAACAACAAAACAGGCTTTCTTCATAACACCAAATGGTAGCTTCTTCTAAACACCGTATAGAAACACTAGACGTGTGCCAATGTTAGAAAACTTCAAATAATGAATCGTATAGTATTGCATATTTGAAACACCGAGGATTTTTCTAATATTTCTAAATAAGGTGTACGGACGAGGAAACACCGTATTAACAAAGCGCTCAAACAGCGAGGGGTCTTTTTTACTACTTTTAACGACGAGGTTACCGAGATAACATGCAGCGTCAGATTTTAAGTGACTATCGACACTTTTCTTATCGCTGGATGAAGGCGTTATTGCTTAGAACCGCCTTTTCGTCGAAGCAAACGTGTCGCCTCTGTACGCCATCATCGCCGTGTAATTGCTGATGGGGTGGTGGGGTTACGGCTGCATTAGCTTACAGAAGTGTTACTTTGTACACGCTTGCACGACTAACACCAGACGCAAGTGTCACGTTCATGCAAATTTTTTTCGAGGTCATGTATTCAACAATAATATTTACCTTCCTTTGCTACTAAGGCCATGATGTGGTTTTTTATCTCTAACATTAAATGCTTATCTGATATAATGGTGTTCGGTTCAACATTGCTTAATTGTTCTGGGTCAGTTTTATTTAAAGGCTCGGGACAAGGAGCCTCATTGAGAATGCTGTAGTCTCTGCTGTATATCAATCTAGTGTTACTAAATATCTCGAATGCTTTAGTCGCTGGTGTGTACAACCTTACATTAGTTTACATATTTCTAGTTGTTCTTGCCTGTTCGTAGTATCGCCTTGTTGAACTTTTTGTGAGTATTTTTTGCAAGTTAGACGTTATAAAACATAACTGTTACGAAATGGTTGCATTACTATTAATAAATTATTCGAATAGTGCTTGATTCATATTTGTAATCGTATCGGTATCATAACTATTCTATTCACGATTGATTCGGTGTTGAACTGAACTATTGACACACCCTTACCAAATACATAACATGTACTCCTTGTTGGGCAATAATAATAATGTAATACGTGGAGCTAAGCGTCCCAAAACCACCATATGATTATGAGAGACGCCGTAGTTAAAGGATCCGGAAATTTTGACCACTCCAACAATACTAGACATCTTGATTTTAACTCTAAAAAATATGGTGACATGAAATATGGCAGAAAAAGTGCGTTCTTAGCTCCGTTCACTTGCTATGCATACGGGGTGTTCTTTTTTGAGCAATACAGTTTTTTTTCTTAAAATTATAATAGGTAGGTAGTTATCGTCTTCGCAGTCAATTTAAAGGCCAAATCGGAAAGATTTTGCCACTAATTAGACCAGTCAGAAGTTTTGAATAAGCCTTTTTATTATCAGTTTTGGGGTGGTTGCAGTGTTGATATGGCGAAGTTGTTCTACGTCACAAATTATGGCGAGCTATTGATTGATTGATTTGTGGGGTTTAACGTCCCAAAACCACCATTTGATTATGAGAGACGCCGTAGTGTAGGGCTCCGGAAATTTTGACCACCTGGGGTTCTTTAACGTGCACCCAAATCTGAGTACACGGGCCTACAACATTTCCGCCTCCATCGGAAATGCAGCCGCCGCAGCCGGGAATCGAACCCGCGATCTGCGGGTCAGCAGCCGAGTACCTTAGCCACTAGACCACCGCGGCGGGGCGTATGGCGAGCTATAGCTTTGAAAGATAAAAAAATGTCAAGCAAATTTTCAAAGATCCATCGTGGAATTTCCAGACCTCGACGCCGGAGCAACAGGAACTGAACGCACCGGATGCGCCAAAAGCTACCAGAAGGGCGGTCGTTGTGCTGCGTCACGCGCGAACTTCCCTTGACGTAATCTGAGCGAGACCGCCGTGGTGCGCGAGGCTATAATCTGGCTCCGTTTCACATACTCACTCTTCGCGCATCGTGCAGAGGCTCTCCACGTTCCAGGGCTCATAAAGCTCTTTTATCCGGGAGACGCCACATGTAGGCGGCACCTTGCCAGGTGACCGGACATCGGCCTTTCACCATAATATTCGAGCCCTGCAACTTGCAGAATGAAGTTAAGATTGCAAAGAAGGAGAAAACCATTGCACACCACGTGCGAAGAATGATGTGCTCTGCTAGCATGACACAACATCTCTCGCGCGACGCGCCATCATTTGAATTGCGTTAAGGGAAAACTCGCGCGTGGCACAGCACAGGCACCTCCCTTTCGGCGCACCCGGTGCGTTCATTTCCTCTTTGTCCGGCATTGCGGTCTGCAAATTCGACGATGGATCTACCGCCGATTTTTAAAAACTAGGCTCGCCATAATTTGTGACGTAGAACAACTTCGCAATATGAAAAACACCCTAAAACTGATAATGCGAAAGCTAATTTGAATAGTTTAGGGGCGAAGCTCCCAAAGCCTTGGGTCTGTCCATGCATATCTTCTGTGACCGGTTCGTAACCACCGAGTTGTATGACTCACTCAGCAGGTGGCGCTAGTGTGAGTGACTGACAGACGGACTGACTAACAGACGCGCGGATGGACGGACGGACAGACGAACGTACGGATGGAACTCACTGCCAATGACTGCATTGTGCAGCACATGCTTTCAAAATACGTACTCAAATGTGTCCATATGCAACCTACTACGATTCAAGGGACGTGCATATATAGACTTAGTGTTTGCAAACTTTCCACTGCAGCCAGTACAAGAACCTCTCTCACTTCATTTCACGGACCATGAAAACATAATAATAAAGGGACCTCGCAATCTAGCCACCGTGACAACGAAGAAATAAAACGAACGAACGAAGAAACAAAAAACAAACAAACGAATAAAAGCAAAATAAAAGGCGATTAGTATAATATGCGTGCAGGCTTACTCTTTACGTCTTTCTAATGATGTAATGGGCTAAATTTTCATGGGAGAGTTACGGTTTACCGATGATCTCCCCTCTCTCGAGCTTCGCCCACTAATCTTCATTCATTCCGTGGATATGGTGCGATTTTCTTTGTTTAGTAATCATTCCTGAGTAATCTAAACAGTATGTCCACCTTGGCCTAGAAATTAGTTGCGAAGATGAGAAGTGCCTAACTATTATAAAAACACCCTGTACATTGCAGTATAACCAAAGACAATAAAGAGGTTATTATTAAAACGATTGTCCTGTTGCCTGTCACGCGTTCACCTTTTCTTTAGCACTGAAATGAAGATTTAGTACAACGTCGGTACCCGCCCCACAATAACTTCCCGGTAGCGCCTGAGCTGTTGGAAAATTCGAGAAAAACATAATTGAAAAGACAGTGCGAAAGGCAATGTTGCGAAGGGCGATGTTGTGAAAGGCAGTGTACTGATCGAACAGTAGTGTTACGAGTGACACGAGAATTGGGAAAAGAAGCTATAGCATCATGAACTAAGAACATTACACGCTGACCAAATTTGCCTGAAAATTTTATTTTGATAATAGAGATGGAAGAGCACCAAGGTTGTAGAGTGGCTAAGAATAACTTTCTTCCCTCTAACGTGCACCACAAGAGTGAGCGATGGCTGCTGCCTTACCTGCTTGTAGGCCTGACGCAAACAGAGCACCCTTAGCTGGTACTGCTGTGCGGACAGACTGTCCGTGTCGAGAATGCGGCTGCCGAGGGCGTCCAGGAGTATGCCATTCACGTCGTATCCGTGCATCATCTCGTGACCAACTACCTGCGTACGTTTCGCAGAGAGGCATTTGCGTAGGCGTCTTCACAGTAATATTTCTTCACTTATTTTAAAGATACTATATTCGGTGACAACTTTTCTTGGCACTGAAGGGAAAGCTGTGGAGGCGGAGCTTCTGCACATGTAGCACTACACGAAGTAGCCTGATTTGGTGCGCGACTCGAAACGCTGTGGAAAGAGACGGGGGTAGACTATCAGCGCTTCATGTACAGACCTTTGCATCGGGCGAGGAAGTCCGGTCTGGCAACCTACGCATTCTTCCTCTCTGAAATGCGGGCGACGGCTTGGAGTGTGTGTGTGTTGATGCTGGTATGTGTGGTGTTATCGAGCAAATTGCCGTGTATTAAGCCAAGCGGCAGATTTTGTTTTTCTTCATTGCTATTATGGTCTGGAATTGGTCATCAGGGAACTACTGCGCTGTTTTTGGGTGCAGTAACAACTGCACCCAAAAGAAGTATGCCATGTGCGTCACCAGACTGGAGATTTGTGGCTGTGGACTCTTCAAGTTGCATCGTTTTCCTGTTGACGAGGAGCAGCGGCTTCTATGACTTGCAAACTTAAACAGGAAAGACTTCGTACCTTCCGCAGGTACTCGCGTATGTTCAGAGCACTAAAGCGCGAGACAGACGTGCGATTTTCCGTGCGATGTGGTGTGCGGCGTCGCATGGTGCGGCATGCCACATGCGACGTTTTGGGACATACGGGGGCGAAGAAGCTATCAGCGGCAGGCTCCACCCCCCTGCGGCGCCTCGGCATGACTTGGTATCCTCGTAAAGAGGCTCAAAACAAACAACATTACACAGCCACGCGTTATTCCCCCACCTCAAAATAATTAATAAATTGCATTCGGGAACGACAAGCACGTCGTAACCACGGCAACAGCTGATAATTTACGACTCCGACAGGTAGGCCTAGCATCGCGGGCGCCGGCCGGTGCCTGCGCCGTTCACACGCGAGCTCGTCATCGAGTGCTTGTTTTAGACAACACTATCAAGCATTGCGCTCGTATGCAATGCGTTAGCATACATTATTACTTTATCGATGTCATCGATGTGAAGAGCAAAGGTGCTAGCGAAGCGAGCCAGCGGAAAGACGCTGGTAGCTGTGCTTACCTGCGAAATGACCTTGCATCGCTGCTCACGAACTCCGATCTCGCTAGTGGTTTCAAAACAGGCGTTGTCGTGCGGAAAAGGTACACTTCAAGCATCACTTTATTCAATCCAGAATAATATCACGTCACCAGGGAAATGTTCTCGATGTTTGTCACGCCGCCGCAGTCGGCGATGTCAGCAAATCCACGCTCGCACCGCTCCATCGACTCGCCTAGAGCCTTGGACCACGGGTGATGGGAGCGGCGACAGGGAGATGGTGCCGCTAGCATCATGACGCAGTCGTATGCTCGCGCTGTGATTGGCTGCTGCCATGCGGCGGTGCGATGCTGCGACAAAAAATATCTGGCCGGTTTGATGCTTGCCGCACCGGCTATGCGGTGGTGCGACGCGGAGATACGTCACGAAACGTCACCACTCCGGCAGTCGCATCGTCGCACCGCACGCCGAATCGCAGAGAAAATCGCACGTCTGTCTCGCGCTTTATTCTCAGGCGAAAGAACCGCAACGACTTCGACACCGATGCTCAACCTCGGCTATGAACGGAAGGATCGGAGCCTACAGATATTCCAACGATGACAATATTTCCCTGATAAACAGCATCACGTAACATCTCTATCGCAGGTCACAGTACCACGGCGGCGATTAATGAAGCAAGAGCTTGTGCCAACGAAGCGTTGGTCACCAAACAGTCTGCTGTGCAGCGATACAAGTGCACTTAAGATCGTGATAAAGAGCTATCTGCGTTAAATTTGTCGGCGGTGATTCACCCATTTCCGCAGATTGCGCATTACGTAAGCTATGGTTTCTAAAAAGAAAACTAGCATCTGCACCCTCGCGTACTAAAACTCTAGCCTATAATGGCTGTGTTCGTTCTAAGCTTGAGTATGCTTCTATTATCTGGGATCCGCATACCAAGAAAGATATTATGAATCTGGAACGTATTAACAGAAAGGCCGTAAGGTTTATTTTTGGCAAATATCGCAGGCTTGATTCCCCGACCACCTTAATGCAATTAAACGACATTTCTACTTTAGAAGCTCGGAGAAAGTTCAGTCGTCTTTCCATTCTTTACAATTGTTTGTGTGGTATTGTAAAAATTGATCTCCCTGACTGTGTTAAACCGCTCTCAGTACGACGTACTCGTCATGGTCATGAACATGCTCTTACCCCAATTTTTGCCCGATCAAATGCTTTTAAATACAGTTTTTTTCCTAGAACTGTCGATGACTGGAATCGTTTGCCGTGTGACATCTTTCATTCTAATAAGTTTCTTGGTGACCTTGAGCGTCATCTTCTTTCCTAACCTTTTGTTTCTTTTGTATTGTTGTCTGTTGTTTTCTACAATTACGTTTGGATGTATCCACTCCTGCTTGGGCCAGCACATTGGCCTGCAGTATTGTGAAATAAATAAATAAATATGTCAACAGCTACAAAAAAGGCAAATAGAAAGATCGATCCAGATTGGGCTCGATCGAGGCGGAAGAAGAGCCCGAGTCACTTGTTGAGGTGCATGGCCAGTTAATTGCTTCAATCACTGCTTTTTGCAGAAAATGAGCAGTGACCGACACCGTGATGTTCTCAAGCACAGTCATACCACAGGCTGGGTCTTTTGTTCTATAATTGAAGCATCAACGAAAGCTTGTAGCCAACGCTAAATAGCAGCTCCGGACGGCGTCAGTGTACAAGCCGCGCACCCGAAACTGGACTGCGCAGGTCCCAGTTTACTTGTCATCCTTGTTCTCAATCGCAAGATATTACTCAATTATGAATCACCAACTGGCCCAATCGTCTACATTGATTATCTGCGTGACAGCAGTATTGCTTATCCGTGCACTGGAAAGCACTGCGCCAAAAAAGATAAAAAGGGGATGTGCAGGCACGTCAGCGTCGTTTGATGTAAGAGCTGTATTCAAGTGCACACTCGTAAAAAGAAACTAGTGAGCAAGATACACTCACTCCTTCAGAGTTGAGAAACAAGTTAGACAATAGTTAGTGCGAAGTTAATAAAAAACAGCAGTGGCACGAAGTGAAGACGAACCACTGCACTCCAATGCACGGCTTCATGCAAGAGCGGTAGCCGATGCGATGGCGTGGCGTAAATAAACAGATCTTAGAAGAGCGGATGACTAAAGCTCAACAAAGATATTCGCTATGCTCTCGAAGTGTTGTTGCTCATTCTGAAAAAGAAAGACCTAAAAATACTGCGCATTTTTAGAGCAGGAAGTAGATGCTATGAATATACTCAAAGTCGGTGCTGTGAACGTGGCGGACTCTTTCGCGGCGCTGTATAAAAAATAGATTGTCCCTCAACGATTTGAACCTCGTCAGAACGTCTCATAGACTAATTTCTCAAAGAGCCTGCATCACTTCTGTCAACATTCACCGAGTAAAAACCAGGGGCGAACGATAAAACCACAGCTGCACGCTAATCTTCTATGCAAACAGTGAGCTTTTCGCATGTCAGATGGGTTGCCAGAACAGAAAACGGCCGCCCGCTAACAAGATGGCAGCGCCCACGAAAAACAAAAAAAAAATGGCAGCATATGCACGATGTGAATGATGGAGAGTGGGGCGAAGAATTCGTCCGTCCATTCGTTCTTGCTTCCGTGCGTCCATGCGTCCGTCAGTGTGACCGTCCATGCGTCCATCAGCCCGTCCTTGCGTGCGTCTGTTCGTGCGCCCGTCCCTGCGTTCGTCCATGCAGCCGCCCCTGCGTCCGTTCATGCGTCCATCCATGCATCTGTCTATCCGTCCGTTCGTCCATCTATTCAACACTCCAAGTACCACCATCTCGCATCTTTTCATCATTTATTTCCCATATAGAAGAACCGCCATTCAGTGGACATTCCAAGGACTAAACGAGAGGTGGCACACGCACACTTTCTTACGGCTTGCGCTTCGGGTCTACTTTCCACCTTCAGCCACCTTGAGTTCATGGTATATACTAGTTCACTGTATTCATGGCACTGCGGCCCAATGCTCGCTAAACCTTTCTAAAATCAAGGAGGTTACGCCCAGCAAGTATAACATAGCAACCTTTTCCTGTCAGATAGTGTTCAATGTACATGCCAGTGGCTGCTAATGTGAAATGAGAGGCGGAGAATTCGGCTTTTGCTTTCTTACGGCTTGCGCTTCGTATCTACTTCCCATTTTTAACCACCTCGAGTTCATTCATGGTATATACAAGTTCATTGTATTCATGGCACTGCGGCTCAGCGCTCGCTAAACCTTTCTAAAGCTAAGGAGGTTACACCCAGCGAGTATAACGTAGCAACCCTTTCTTGTCAGATAGCGCTCAATGTACAGGCCAATGGCTGCTAATAGTAATAGCAGCCTGCGCGTTAACTAAAAGCCGAATGCTCCTCTCTCTCATTCTCCATTACCAGCCATTGACATGTACATTGAGCACTATTTTTTGTTGTTCAACAACGCACTGAAGAAGTCTCTCACCGGCACCACCTTGAAGGTCAAAATGTTATACTTGTTACATACTACGGGAGACGAACGGGTGTCGTTATAAGGAGTTTCTTCCCTAAAGCGTTTATGCTCGGCGCAACTTCCGGTGGCAGCACACCCAAAGCTGCGTAGGCGGAGCTTCTGCGCATGTGTTACTACGCCAAGTCGTCTGTTTTCGCGCGATTTTGGTTTCGCAAGCGCATCGAACATGTACTTTTCGCACAACCATAATGCTACAAGTATTACATATATATGAGAGGAAATAAATAAAATGTTCATTTTTTAAGGGAAAGACCACGGAGCTTCTTCGTTTTCTTGAACAGGAATATTGCTGCTTTTTTGAAGCGTTGAAATTTGTTAAAAAAAAAAGGTACGGCCGAGCGCAAGTACTGGGGCGATTCG